CACTCACCTCAGCCTCCCAAAGGCGCGGGATTACAGGCTGAGCCACCGAGCCCGGCTTAGAGACTCCCTCTTAAGAGCTGGAGACACATTTGTACCAAACATTCAGGAGCGTGGAGAACAGGCACGCACCATACCAAAGGAGAGTCCACTGGGGTACATCCTCAAGAACTGGAAAATTTGGGGATATTACACACTGACTCACCAACGGTTTTCTTTGCAACACTGCTTGGCCCCACTGTTCTCACCAGGATCAGGAGAACAACAGCCCATGAACGGGTCTCTTTGTCACAGTCCTATTTTGCAATTAGACTTGTTCTGGAAGGGAGGGAAAATAGGATGAGATCCCCTGTGTTCAGTGTATGGCATTACTTTGGCAAAACAAGGCAAGGCAGAAGAGATGTAAGGTCAGGGTTCGGAGGCTAACAAGAAAAAGCCTGTGCTCCCTGAATCACAAGAAAGGGATGATGACTCCTTGATCATCCAATTAAGGGAGCCGTCCGCTCCCCCTTACGCCCTTATGAAGGGGCTGGAGTGGGACCATTCTCATTTGAGCTGCAGTCCCCAACTCCACAGGTCAGGAGCCAGAAGCAACAGGAATGAACGCCCCCTCCCACACCCACAGGGAATTATATTTGGCCAGGTTGTCCCTTTAGCTCCAGGAGGGCATTTTCCTCCCGACAGATGCCTATGGGGGTATGGATGCCGTCACAGGCCGGTCTAAGGGACTTGCCGGAGTCCACTCTCTGCTTTCCACTTCCAATTTGTTTAATTGGAAAAGCGACAGGCCCAGATAATGGAACAGCCTGAGGAAAATGGAAAGCCTGTTTTCCTCCCTATCTACAACTCACAACCCCACTTAAACAGATGTTTAGAGCCTGCTTGACACTTCATTGGCCTTGGAGGAGTGGAGAGTGGTTCTAGAGGAGGCTGACCACATGCATGCCAAGTCTCCTGGTAACTCGGGTGCTATTCAGGTAGTTGTGCCCACTCAGACCCAGGACAGAAAGCGAACGAGGGAGATAGACCCAAGCTTGAGTCTCACCAAGACTGCATCTTGGCTGGCTTAGGAAGTTAGGCAGAAGCCTAAGGAGAGCCCCCCCGGATTCTTAGAATGAACCTTTGAAACACATAGGCAGCACTCAGGCATCAGTTCAGAAGTGCCAACAAATTCCAAAACAGGGACTATGACTTTCATTAGCCAAAGCCCTTCTGACATTCGGAGAAGGTTAGAAGAGATATATAGGGCTTTGGGAATGGCAATTGTTTTTAGGGTGTTCCCTAGTTAAGATGAGGTGATGAATAAAAGGGGACAGTGAAAGACAAAATAGCAGGCTGATCTTCTGGCTGCTGCACTGACTCAGGAGCCCCTGGGGACCACCGCATAGATCTCCTTCAGGCACTCTGCTCAAGGCAGGACCTCCCCACCCCGGACCTCAGATCCAAAACCAAAGTGGACAGCCCACTGCAGGTCCAAATTGATGCACTTGTTGCAAGCTAGAGGGGGCATGGGAAAAGAGAGTACCCACACTGTCAAAGGCCAGTGCCAGGAAAAAAGCCCTTCTCCATTCACCAGATGCCAGGACTAGTTGGGAGGTTTAAAACTGAGGCCATCGAGTTTGAGGACCAGGAATGCCAGGGCCCAGGGGGCTCCTCTTGACCAAGCAACACCCTCCACAATACCCACATGGAGCTCTGGGTCATAACAACAGTGGGGAATCAACTTTTGGACTTTCTGATAGACACTGACGCTGCCTATTCGGTGATAAACTCCTGGCTATCTAAGATGTCTTCAGAGACTATAAAAGTGACTGGGTCTTGGGAGAAACTTTGATGAGCCCATTCCTCCCAGCCCTAGAATGCCAATTCGGCCAAACTTACCAGAAGCAGTTTCCTGCATGAACTTGAATGTCTTCGTCCTCTGCTGGGCCACGATCTCCTACCTAAACTAAATGCTGAAGTTATCTCCAGCCCGGGATAACTCAATACCAGAACCCTTCCAGAAGAAGCCTATGCCTTGTAGGCTGCCTAGTTGCAGCTAGAAGCATCTGAACCTGCTCTCATTCCTGGAGAGACTCTTAGGGATGTGAGTCTGGAGGTGTGGGTGGATGGGTGACCAGGAAGAGCAAAACAGTCATCTCAGCATGAGCCAAGGTAAGGTGGGCAAGAATAGCCCCGCCCTGCTTAAGTGGTGTCTGTTGCGGGAGCAAGTGCAGCAGGGAATCCAACCTCTGCTCCTTCAGTTTGGACTCATTAGTTCTCGCCAGTCCCCATGTAACACACCCATGCTACCAGTTGAGAAGCCTGGGACTGAGAAACACAGGTTTGTTCAGGATTTGAGAGCTATTCATCAAATTATAGAAGATATCCAACCAGTGGTCCCTAGTCCTTATATATGACTCACAACCCTGACAGGTGAGCTATGCTGGTTCACAGTTTTAGATTTAAAAGATGCTTTTTTCTGCATCCCCCGAGCCTGGAGTCACAAGAACTGTTTGCTTTTGAATGGGAAGACCAGACATTAAAGCAAAGCAACCATGCTGTTGGACAGTTCTACTCCAAGGGTTTAAAAACTTTCTTGCCATCTTTGGAGAAATTCTTGCTAGAAACCTCTGAGACTGCCAAGTTAAGCGTGGGACTCTATTGCAATACATTGATAACACATTAGTTGTTAGTGTCTGATCAGAACACTGGGAAGCGTTCACAAGGAAGCATCTGATCATAACACTGTATTAACTCTAAACTTTCTGGTTGAGTGAGGATACAAGGTATCTGAGAAAAATAATCAGGTTTCATAGCCTTCAGCTAATTATCTTGGATTCAAGCTTTGACCCCAACCAGAAGACTCAGGATGGAAAGATATATAATGAGACATGAACAGTTCTGGTATCCAAAGGTCTCGTGAATGACATCATCAAGCACATTCATGACTCCACCATTATGGCAGGGATGCCGCCCTCTGTGATGCAGAGATAGAGCATTGGTCCGAATATGAAAAAGATCATTCAGAAGGTTATAGAAAAATATCTCTTTTATGCTCAGAATAACCCTAAAACTAGTCCTTCCCACTTAGCACAAGGAGTTCAGACCAAGATTTTACTATGATGCTGAGAGTGGCAAGAAATTTTAAATGTCTACTTATGTTTGTGGACACCTTCTTGGGATGGATTGAGGCCTTTCCTTGCTAGACAGAAAGAACTTTTGAAGTTGTTAAGGCCCACAGTGCACAAGGGCCTCAATTTCTCCACAGCTTCACCAGCACTTGCTTTCTGGGGTGATAGCAGCTGTCATAATGGATGGGAAGTGGTATCCAACTGAGGTTTTGATTTGCATTTCCCTAATCATCTGTGATGTTGAGCATCTCTTCACGTGCCTATTGGCCATGTGTATGTCTTCTCTGGAGAAATGTCTATTCAATTCCTCTGCCCACTTTAGAGTTGGGCTTGTTTTGTTATTGAGCTTTTGAAGTTCTTTACATATTCTGGATATTAATCCATTATAGGATATAAGATGTGCAAATATGTTTGCACATTATGAGGGCTGCCTTCTTACTGTATTAATAGTGCTAATTCATTTTATTTTTATTTCTATTTTTTAAGAGACAAGGTCTCATGTTGCCCAGACTGATCTCGAACTCCTGGGCTCAAACATTTCTCCCACCTCAGCCTCTCAAATTGTTGAGATTATAAGCATGAGCTACTATGCCTGACTAAATAGTGCCCTTTTATGCATAAAAGTTTTTAATGCTAATGATGTGCAATTTATTTCTACTTTTGTGGCCTGTGGTTTTGCTGTCATATCTAAGAAGTCATTGCAAAATCCAATGTCATGAAGCTTTTCCTCTGTTTTATTCTAAGAGTTTTACAACTTTAGCTCTTACATTTAGGTCTTTGATTTATTTTGAGTTAATTTTTGTGTTGTTGTTGGGTAAGAATGCTGCTTCATCTTTTGCATGTGGAAACTCAGTTTTCCAAGCACCATTTGTTGAAAAGACTGCCATTTACCAATTTAATGGTCTTGGCATCCTTGCAGAAAACAATTTGGCCATAGATGTGAGGGTTTACAACTGGGCTCTCTATCTGATTCCATTGGCCTATATGTCTGTCTTTATGCCTAGGTTACACTGCTTTGATTACTGTAGCTTTGCAGTAAGTTTCAAAATTAGGAAATGTGAGCCCTCCAGCTTTGTTGCTCTCCTTCAAGATTGTTTTGGCTATTTAGGGTCCCTTGAGATTACACATGAATTCTAGAATGAGCTTTTCAATTTCGGTAAAAAGTCCCATTGGGACTTTACCAGGGATATTGCACTGAAGCTGTAGATCACTTTGAGTAGACACTTTACAATATAAGTCTTTCAATCGATGAACGTGGGATGTATTTCAATTTACTTATATTGTCTTTAATTTCTTTCAGGGATGTTTTTGTATTTTCAGAGTACAAGTCTTTTACTGTTTTAGTAAAATTTATTCCTAGGATTTCATTCTTTTGGATGCCATTGTAAATGGAATTGCTTTCTTAATCTCCTTTTTGGATTGTTCACTGCTGGAGTGTGCAAATACAACCGGTTTTTATGTGTTGATTTTGTATCCTCCAATTTTGATACGCTAGTTTATTATCTCTAACAGTTTTTCTGAACTCTTTAGGTTTTCTACATATGAGATCATGTCATCTGCAAATAGAGATCATTTTACCTCTTTACTTACACTGTGGATGCCTTTCATTATTTATTGCCTGACTTCTCTGGGAAGAACTTCAAACACCAGGCTGAACAGGGTGGTGAAAGGGGACATCCACGTCTTGATCCTGATCTTAAAGGGGAAGCTTTCAGTCTTTCATCACTGAGTATGATATTCACTGCAGGTTTTGTGTACACAGCTACTACTGTGTTGAGAAGTTTCCTTCTGTTCTGGGAGTGCTGAGTGTTTTTTATTATGAAAGTGTAATTTTGTCAAATGCTTTTTTTGTATCAATGAGATGATCAGAAAAAGTTTCTTTAGGTGGAACTTGGGGGCTGTCAACAGTGATTTCATAATAATGCACATACCATGAACAAGTGAGTTAGGAGAGTATTCCAAAGTGGAGGGTTTGAAAAGGAAACAAATAGAAGAAGAGGAACACTACTCTTCCTAGCCCCAACATGATTTATAATTCTCCTTGGCAAAAATGGCCATGGTTTAGACTCTAAATCTTTCAGTTTCCCCGAGGTTGCTGCCAAGTTAGACCAGATGCACTAAGTCTTGTAGTCATGTTCTGAATAGTTCCAGTCCTGAAAAATCTCCAAATTCACATGGTAAATCTTTCTCTCATTTTGATGTCTTCTCTAAATGTTGCACTCAATGTTGTTTACATGGCATGTAAAGAGAGTGTCAGAAAAGTTTTCTTATTCAAACAGAGGTCAGTGAGCTTGGCCATTCAAGAGCTGCAGCTCACCACTAAAAACAAGCCCAGGATCCTATTTATAATACACTTTCACAAGGGAGTCGAGGAACCTGAAATTCTCGAGATCATTAGCAGGTTTTGATGATAACAGATGCATATCACACCAAGTATTTCAATATTCCTAAAAGTTCAGCTTCACTTTCTTCATTTGGAAAACAGATAACAAAACCTTTTTGATCATTTGGAAAAGCCAGAGGAGGCATCTGGCTGTGGATTAGATGTGAAAACCATAGCTGTGTTTCCCTGAGCCCTCCCCTGATGACCCCACACGCTGCTGTCCCACAGAGGGTCCATGCTCAGGTCATCCTAGGCAATGGGGCAGTGACCTCCCCAGGACTTGAGCAGACACCGAGGGATAAGCTCCTCTACATTGTCCAGGGCACCCTTTCCTTGATGTCCTCATTGCTGGGGTCCTGTCCTGCTGGTCCTGTGGCCAATCCCAGGGTGTCCACCTGACAACCTGCTACCAGAGACACCTATACATATTCAACGACTTACCAGCTTCTCGGATTGAGGCTATGCAGTGGTCAGGTCACCAGATGGTCTTCCATGAGTCCTGGCCCTAACTACATGCAGAGTCTGGCTGGTGCACACCCCTCCACATACACAAGGCCTCGTTAGTGTGCAAGGGCTGAACTCGACATGTCAGGACCTCAGTGCGGCCAGAATACCAGTTTTTCTTTTGTCTCTGCCTTTTTAGTGATTTCTTTTCTGATTTTACTAATTAGAGGATATTTGTAAAGTCAAGAAGGTTAGAAGGAGCAAAACCACTCCTACATCTGTAAGCATATGCCTCCCAGGCACACGCACACTGACATCCCTGAATGTTCTCTGGTGACTGTTTCTAAAGTGAGTGTTAACAAAACTGACATGAAACAAATTTACACCCCTTTTTGGCTCAATATTACTTCATAATCGTTTCCTTCAGTATTTTCAAAATGTCAAATAATAATACATCTTTCTGAAATCATCTCAAGTCTTTGCCAATTTTTCTATTAGGCTTTTAGTAATTTATTTTTATAAGCTCTCCACAAAGATGATGTAAGAAATAGTTTCTATTTGGCTTTTTTTTCCTTCTGATGCCTTTGAAGTACAAAATTTCTAGATGGGTCTGCCATCAATCTTTCAGTTCTGTAATGCCATTCTTTGCTTCAGCAAAGAAAGTCTGTCCATTCCTGATGGAAAGCCAGGTCCCCCCCTCCCCATCTCTCCCTCTCAGATCATCTTCACTTGGACTCACCTGCATTTAATTTCATTCGGGGTGGGAAACCCTACACTGACATGTTCCTCAGTGACTTGTGAGTGTTGAGTGACTCATCAGCACATTCTGGTCAAAACCTGCCCTCTTGGCCGCAGATTTCAGTGTTGACTTTGCACTATCCTAAGTTTTACATTGTACACTTCCAGCTCTGAGTGGTCAGGACTGGTCATTGGTTTACTATGGCAAAAATAATAATAATAATTTTAAAAGAATGATCACACTTATCCTAAATATTTCTTTCAGCCTTAAATATATAAATACACAGTCAACCACCACTATCTTAATGGGAGTTGCTGGGGATTCCTTCCCACAGGGAGGTGCCCACACAGGCTCCTTCTCTGTAGGGAGACATACACACAGATGCATCCAGCTGCAAGGTACTCACACAGACTTCCTGTCCAGGTCTGCAGTAACCTCCTGGCAGGGATAAGAAAGCTGGTAAGCAGTACAGTCCGTCTCTGCTGTAGCATCTGTTGGCCACATTGGCCAGCTGCCCGAGCACCGTGGCCTCAGTAGATGTATACAGGGCAGAGAGTGTGTTCTGGACACGGGGGTCTAGGGATTCCAGATCCTGAAATGAAAGAGAGGACTCAGGAGATTTTAACACCCAACCCAAGACAGGTGCCCATGTCGGTCAAAGCTTAGCATTTAAGCGTCCACACAGAAAGTACCTGTCCTGTGTCTGGCATGGTGCGAGCTACCTATGAGAAAGACAAAAGTGCAGCCAAATCCACGGCACAGAGCATGTCATGGTGGTTCTCCTTGTCACTGTCATGTAACGGAGGAGCAGGAGCTGGTCCCCCTAGCAGAAGACCCTAAATGACAGCTTTAGAAACATGCATGGTCTCCCCTATCACATTGAGGCACAACTGAGTCTAGATTTGACATAAATTCCCTCCCACATGATCTGAAAAACCGTAACTTGAACGCCACAGTGGGGCTCTTTGGTGGAGCTGGCTCCTCCCCCCGACTCTCCCGGGTCTGCACAGGGAATGGTGGCAACCACCAAGGGGAAGACAGAGCTGGTGCATGCACCATTTCATACTCAGAGAAGAAGTTCATCTGGCCAGGTATGTTGGCTCATGCTCACAGTCCTAGCACCTGGGGAGGCTGAGGTGGGAGGATGGTTTGAGTCTAGGAGTTCTAGACCAGCCTGGGCAACACAGCAAGACTTCGTATCAAAAAAAAAAAAAATTAGCTGGGTGTGGTAGCATGTGCTTGAAGTCCCAGCTACATGGAAGGCTGAGGCAGGAGGACCGCCTAAACCCAGGTCAAAGCTACAGTGAGCCATGGCAGCCTGGGTGACAGAGTGAGACCTTGTCTCAAAACAACCAAAAGAACAAAAGAGAAGTTCATCCACAGCAAGTACGTTTCAGTGGTATTGATGATTTTGTTTAAATTTAAATGACAACGATAGTAAAACCACTGGGTGTCCCTCATCAAAGCCTCAGAATTGTGCTCATGTGGTCATTCTGCGAACAGTATCATTAGTAACTAGACATTTTGGCACAACATACCTCTGTGTAGGGACAGAATGCTTTTTGTTTTAAAATGTTTAATGTTATTTTGGATGTAACAAGTCCTAAGTAAATACCATGAACTTCATTTGTTTGGAAAATAAATGCAAAGTGAGGAATAACAGTGAAAGCCAAAGTGATTAAAAATTATGAAATCAAATTTTAAAGGGACAACAGTTACATCTGAGGCTCCTCTGAACAGCAACCAATCATGCAGACAATTTTCCAATTGAAAATAAAACAGGAAATCCTCTGAGCCTGCAGTGGGTGAAGGGTCTACCTTATCAGAGCCGGCTTCTAGAAACTGTGTGACCTGGAAGATCTAGGTTGGGTTCCGGCCTTCTGCATCACATGACTAGACACCGTCTGCCCCTCCAATCCCCCAGGGGTCTGCTCCTCTCCCTCCACACTCCTAGCTCAGTCCCACCCCCCAGACAGGGCCACTCACATGTGTTGATGAAATGATGTAAATAGTCTGAGTTCATCCTAAAATGCTAATATGGTCTGATTTCCAAAAACTCAAATCACGTCTGAGTAACAGCAAGCATCCAACCACAGGGCAGATTCTCCTCCCCACAAGCCTGGTAACATGCTGTGCTCTGAGATTTGCAGCGAATACTCAATTGCGAGATGACTGACAGGCAAGAAGTGATGGAATGTGATCCTGGGCAAGGCGTCTTAAGTGACCTGTTTTGGAGGAGAGGTGTCTTCCTGCTGCCCAGATGCCCAAATCAGGTGTATTCCTCCCCTGACCCTTGAGTCCAGGTGTGGCCAGAGGCCTGTGCCCCACTGGAGCTCTACCCAGGGTCACCTTTTGCAACCACTCGGTGACAGTGCACTGTGCTGGTCACTCCCCGGCCTCCCCCGGACCGGCATTCCTTGGTGACTGGGGCGGGCCTCATGCTAGGCCCAGGGGTCCTGCTTGCACTCCTTCCTCAGAACAGCCCCCAGTGGGGCCACCCAGGGCCTGGGTCAGGCTGCAGCTGTCCCAGGGAAGCTGTCTGGAGACCAAGAGTTGGGTGAACTGAGGCATGATGAATCAGCCAAGGGAGCCGTTCACCTGGTGTCTTCAGCATGGAGTGCAGGCAGTTGTTCGTATATGCGTGTGCCCACGAGGCAGAGGGCATGCTGTCTCCTGAGCTGGTGTGCTGCGGAACCCCAGGAAGTGTCTTTGGGGTGTGCCGCCAGATGTCCCTTCTGGCTGTCACCCCGAATCTGCTGGGCACCACGTGAGGAGGGAGATATGATGTGTATGCAGAACTCTGAAGGTATGTGCACCCAGGTAGGTAAGTGGTGGGCCAAGCACAACATGTGGACGGAGGAACTCTCACCAGCTGTGTCCAGGCCTGAAGCCAGGACACGAAGTGGACACACATCAGGGACCTGTGAGCACTCCTGCCAGCCCATTCTGCACCCACTCTCTGTGTGGCAGAACTCAGCCGTTCTTCACAATCCCTAGCCTGCCATTTATGCCCCAAAATAAATAAAATGAGAAAGGACAAGCTGTTGATATGTGTGTTGGCAGAAGGTAATTGATCTCCTACCTACAGAATTCAAGATTCTCATTTCAATCAGCCCACGAAGCATGGGCTGACTTCAAAACTGAGGCCCTTCCCAGGTTACCCGATCATCAGTCCCACCGTGGCTCTGGCTGTGCGGATGTGCTGGCATGCAGCAGAAAGACTGGTGCGGTTGCGGTGAAGGACGCGTGTGGACACCCCTTGAGCTCAGTGTGGCGATCACTCGGCCAACAGAAGTGGGCGTTATCACTTCATTCTTCAATGAGGGTTTATTTTCCCAAGTAACTTCAGGTAAAGTGTTACTGAAATGAGGGTGATATTTTACAGGCGAGACGCTCATCCCACCTGCATGCCCCGTGTGTTCCTCCCAGCTCTGCCCACAGGGGACACGGCCAGCCCCGTCTTGTTTTCTGGGTCACCCAGGATTCAGGGTGCTCCTCCATTACCCCTCCTTGCACCAACAGATGGCGACAGCCCTGATGCTGCCACTTAAAGTGTGAACCCCATAGTAAGGGGTGTGGGAGGTGCCTGTCACTCAGAAATTTTCAATTCGCTGCTGTGGTTTTTGCCTCTAACCAGATTTTTGAAATAAAAATCAGGAAGTCTGGGGGCAGCAGACATCCACCTCAGACATCCGAGCCCTCTGTGGCTCCTTCAAGCAGGGCCTGGAGACGATAGGGGCACCCAAGCTACACGGCTCTGCCCCACTTTCCATCAATAGCTGCTTTCTCTGCTCCTGGGCTGTGAATGAGAATGCCAAGTGAGAAACCCACACCCCCAGGAGGCTTGCCCTGGACTGCCCCCTAGTTCCAGTCACTTAGGTCCCGAGACAACCTGGTGACGGCACCTGGTGTCCTGTCCTGGTGCCTGTGGCCGTGTCTAGTTTCCATTGTGTGCAGACCCAGAAACCACTGAATCAAAACTTGTCGGAAAAGCCTAGTCCTCTTGCCTGGGCTTGGTGTGTTTGTCTGTCTGCTCCTGGCCATCTGCACCAGTCTATCTATGCCAGTCCAGCTTTCCACTCACAGGCTGCGGGGCATTTTGGATTCTTGACTCTCTTGCTGGGAAGGATGAGGATGTTTCGAAGGGGTGAAGGTTCCGTTGGCCCAAGAGCCACGTTGTTCCCAATTCCTAAGGCACTGGTATTCTTCTAGATTTAGAAAGATTCCAAAGTCCTAGGAAGAAGCTTCATTCAGCACCTGTCTAGCTCTCCTGAAGCAATTTCCCTGAGCCCTTATCCCACCAAAATCAGCACAGGAAGTCCAGTGGTGATGCACGGCCCCAGCAGTGCGGTACAAGAGGGATGAATGCTCAGGAGTCTGGTGTCAGGTGTGAGTCTCTGCTGCTGGACCCATTGTCTCCTGCTTTCCTGTGCCTGGGAGGAGCACCACTTCTCCCCTCGTACCCCAATTCTTGTCCTCCTGAAGCCCAGGGACACACACCCTCAGCACACCAGAGACGTGGCTGATGCCCAGCTGCATCCAGACACTCAATAGGAGCTACAGGGCCACGTAGTGGTGCAGGCTGCTCTCAGACAGACCCCAACTAGCCAAAGTCCCCTTCCCAAGCCAAGGCACATCCTACTCAAGCTTGGGTGCCCCTTGGCTGGCTCAATCCCTCCTTGCTGACACACGTCCACTATGTCCCTGTCCAGGGCAACCCTGGGCCTCCAGGGACTAACAATCCAGGGAATGAGGAAGATCCAGCATGAGGGTGGCAGGTGGGAGCAGAGTGTGAGCCCCCAGTAGCGCCCAGGGTGCAGGTCAGCTTCCTGGCAGAAGGGACTTCTGAGCAGGGTTGGGGGTGAGCAGGTCTCCCTGGGTGGGCAGATGGGGAGGGAACATGCAAGACTCCCCACGTGAACCTCCAGGCCTGACAGCTCCCCGCACTCCTAAGACAGCCAGGAAGGTACAGGCTCAATGGAGGCCTCAGGGAGGATGCCATGGAACCCCCAGCAGCAGGACAGGGTGCAGTCAGGGTGGGCCTAGGATGGGTGAGTTTGATGGCCATGAGCAGAGGAGCCCAGTGGGGCATCTGTGAGGCCAGGGTCCCAGGAGGAAGCAAAGGCCCTGACATCAAGCATCAAGCAGGCTTGTCCAGTGGGCCCAGGAGCTGCCCAGATGGGCACATGTGGATGTCTGCAGGACTGGCGCCCTCCCCAGTAGACTGCAATGGGCAGGGGCTGGAGTTGGCCTCACAGTTGGCTGAGCATTCACAATGAGCCCATTATGCTTGACTCCCACAGCCCAAGAGGTGAAAGTTGCACATTCCAGCCTCTGCCCACGCGCACCCTGAGCGGATCGTGGCGGAAAGAGGAGTGGATGGGAACTGTACCCTGCACATGGGTCTCCCCACACGGGCCCACACACACACGCATGCATGCACATGTACAGACCTGCATGGGAGTTGTGCCCTGCTCCTTTGTCTCAGTGCACACATGCACCACACATGTACATGCACACACAGGCAAACACTCAGGAGCTACATCCTGCACCGCAGTCCCCTAGGTGCACACATGTACACACACACTTAACCCCTTTGCCTGAGAACCCACCCTGGTCTCCACCTCCGACTTCTGCACTGTGGTTTTCACCTAAATCTGCTCTCAGCCCCCACCCTACTGCCAGAGAAGCCATCAGTGAATTTCAGCAA